AGCCGGTTAGCTTTCACTGACTGTCTTTGTGGAGGGGACAACACAAGCAGCAGACGTTAGCTGCGTTCCCTAGCATCTCGGTTAGATTAGCGTTACTGCACAAACAAGATCAATACAGAGGAAATATTAATCCAGCTGCTGACATGTTTTGATCTGTGGAGCCCACAGAGCTCTCTTACTCTATTCAACAGCCAGGATCTAGCTAGCTGGAGCTAGCAGGCAGCTCACAGTGATGTGTCAGTGTTTGTGTTTTTATGGCATCACCTCACGAGCTTCAGCAGTAATTGAGCGTCAGTTATCTTAGTAAGGTTAGCATCTCTGGGTCTCTCTTTACGTTATATTTGACTGTGTTTCTTTTGCTGTGTTTCTAGTCTCATTGGAATTGGTGTGGATGTTTTCTTTTCTCATAATGACAGTTGATTTAACGTTAATCTAAATGTCGATTAATTTTTATACAACAGTTAAATCGGGTGTCCCTTTATTGTCAGTGGAAAGTAAATATCACAAAACCGTTAGTCTCCGCTGGTCAGTCTGTCTTGTCTGGGGGACGTCGTTTTCATTATATTCGTGCTTTAATCACATTGTTCCTAATCTCTCGTCTGTTTTCATCTTTCGTTTATTTAACCTGTTAGCCACGAGAGGCCGCTTTGGTGGGTGTAGCATATTAAAAACGGGAGCTAAAATGATACATGGTTGTTGTAAATAATTCAGCAGTTAGTTAAATATCCTTCCGCTGAGCAGGATAGTCCTCGAAGTGATTGCTCAGGCAGATAGACGTGAGGGGTAATTTTAGGTTAGCGCATTAATATTTAAAATAACGGCTGTGGGCGGCAGGTGAATGCTTTCAGCGCTTTTAACGCTGCTTGTACAGTTGTACAGCTTGCCCGCTTTATTAAACGAATTAAACCGTTGTGTATATATACACACACACACACGTTTGTTTATTTGGTAGAGACAGTTTGTGTGATAATGACATCGTCTTTGTTTTCTTATTATCCAGCTGTCCTCCATGGGATCCCCGAGGCGGGTTGAAGAAAAGGCTGACGTGATGACGTTACCGGGAGAAGCGGCTCTCCTGCGGGCTGACAGCTGATGGAGAGAGGGACTCCTGCTCCTCCTCTCACACACACAGCCGGGGTCGTATGAGGAGGACGCAGAATCCAGAAATGAAACACTGAACTGGACTGAAACGTTACTTGCATCAACTGGAAGTACTGGGACGTGTTGTACAAATGGGTGCATTGCGTGTTGACGAGTTTACAACAAAAAGCTTTTGTCAGCTGACATAAAATACTGAATCTGCCACAGTGGATGTTAAATAATTTCCGGTACTCTAATCTTTTGCCTTGTCAGTGAAACAGCATCAGCAAGGCAGCTCACTGATCAAACGCATCAACATGACTTGAATGAGTGCCTTTATTGTGTATGCAGCCCATTCGGCTACATGATATCTTCAATCCAGCAATGAAAAGTCCACAGCTTTGTGACCTCGTTTGTGCTTTTTGGAGAAGTTTTCACTGATCACCTTTTAATCAGTATTGCAAATCCGCGAGATAGCCGAGAGAAAGCGCAAGTACTATGCACCGTTGTCGCTGTCTCACATCCGACACCGAACCAGTAACCTCAGCAGAGGAGAGGAGCTCATAACGGTACCGACACCTCCAAAGAACCCTCGATCTCCCTAAACGTTTTTTTTTTTTTTTTTTTTTAATCCACGGGGGGTTTAGAGAGCTGCAGGGATGTTCGCCGCTGTGGAGCATGGCCCGGTTCTCTGTAGCGACTCCAACATCCTGTGCCTGTCCTGGAAGGGCCGGGTGCCGAAGAGCGAGAAGGAGAAGCCGGTGTGCAGGAAGCGCTACTATGAGGAGGGCTGGCTCGCTACGGGAACGGTCGAGGAGTTGTTGGGGTCACGTTTACGTCCAGCCACTGTAGACGGGATCGGCCCACCCCGCAGAGAGTAAATTTCAACCTCAGAGGGCACAACAGCGAGGTAAGAGGAGTTTCACGGGGAAATGCATATTAAATCATTCATACTCTAGTAAAAATACTGGTAATGTGGTGAAAAGCATAGGTAAAGAAGAAGCGATAAACCACTGTAAAATTTGCAATGCGGCATCCTGACTGTATTTATTTCAACACAAATATGTCACTCCAAACTACTTGTCCATTTCAGTGATGCTGAGATTGAAGAAAAATAAATAAATTTTTAAATTGTCCCAATTGGGCTACAACTGTAGTCTAATACTCATGACTCTCTGAATGTAGTTTAAATGAAGCAAAAGCAGATATAAAACAGTAACACTTCTCAGTAAGACAGTGGTAGATCACTACTTGCATCCACCCCCTTCTAATTGAAATCAGCCACTACACTATAAAGAAATACAACATCAGTTTCTATATATTTATTCTTTAAACAGGCAGCATCAGTCCTTTACACCTGGGATGCAGGAGAATGAATTGACTGCAAATTATTATTACTAGTAGCACTCAGGGTTCACAAAAATATGATTGAATAGTACAGCCTTAGCGGTTTTCCTGTCACTTTTTCCCAGCTGCAGGGTCAGTTGCAGAACAATGTCCTTGAAGCTGCCAGTCTCTGTATTTATTTATTTATTTAGGGCAGGTATCTTGTCTATCACAAAGATCTTTGTGCCATGGCAGGCTGAGAGTTTTGAGTCTTTCTACAGCGGTGATTTCACTCTTAACTAGAATGTGAGGAGTTATTGGTGAAATTAACTTTTGTAGTGTTTGGTTGGAAGTGCGACTTGTGTACGCTCAGTGGCTCATGGTTTGAGCCCCTGCATTAGATCATTATGCTGCTCCTCCTAGTCAAAACATGTCTGTGCTCCACTCACTGGCATCGTTCTTATCGCTCACTGTGGTTATGCCCTTCAAGGTTTTCCACCACTTGTGCACTGAGGCCATTTATTTTGTTACTGGAAAGATCAGTTGAGTAATGATGGGGTCTCTTGCCCACCCTGTATATGAATATTTCTGTTACAATATAGCAGTGCTGGCACAAGCGGAGATTGCACACAGGTTGCGTTTTCTCTTTTAGTGGGTGGAGCTGTTGGTCAGATGGAGCAAGGTGCTGTGTCAGCATTCCATAAGGCAGCTGAGGGGAGAGTGGATGAATCCCCATAGAGAGTGACTGAAGCGCAGCAGAAATGTCATTTAACTCTGCCCACTTGAATGTGGTCCAAGTAGTGAATTTTCCCTTCTGGTGCATGCGGTGTGAAGGACATTAAACCTATGTAACTCTAATTTACCCACTCTTTTCATATGTGAATTTGACTTTATCCACCTATTTAGTGTGATTAAAACTTATTTGAAGACATACCGTTTATGTTTTGTGCATTAAAGTTACCGATATCGGTGTGTTGGGAGTTGTATGATAGTGGTGTTTGTTGCATGCTGTCTTAAATTAATTTTTCTAAAGATGTAGTATTTTATATCTTTATAGTTTGGTTGCCGTTCAACTGTGAGTCCATCACAACTGAAACACATTGCACAGGTCTTTGCCAGTACACCATGCTTTATTCACCAAATGTTTTGACTCTTTTGGCATCATCATCAATGTTTGGTGAATAGAGCACAGTGTACTGGAGGAGAGATGTTGCTCACACTGGCCTTGCTTCTCTAAGTAAAAAATTGTGCCATTCACTTGCATCCATAATTGACCCATACAGCTGTCAATCTCTGACATTACTGTAATGCTGTTTAGATAAATATTGTGCTTTTGTTTATTTATTTTTTTTTTACATCTGTGAAGATGCTTTTTTACATTAAACACAGATGCAAGTGAGAGAGAAATGTCCCCATGCCCTCTGACCTCATTCCAGCGCCAGTAATAAAAGTAGTAATTCTTCCATTCTAGATTTTATATAAAGTAATAAATAAATGGTTTGGGAAATGAAAAATCCATCACTCGTCCACCCTATGCATAATTTGTGGTTTCTGACGGTGGTGGAAATCACACCGCCTAATGAATTCTGTCAAGTTCTGACAGATCTGTTCAGTCACTTGCATGATTTTCCATCCCATTTCTGCATTTCTGTTGAGGAGACAATGCTGTTTGCAGTATACAGTCCAACGCCAAGGAAAACAACCCCCATAAGCTTGGCATATAGTCTCCAGTCCTGTCTAGGTATTCAAATATGTTTTAGAACAGACAACAAGCGAACATTAACACATGTTTTAACATTATTTTTAAAAGAGCTCTGTAAATACATTTGGGTAACCTTTCCTTGTCTTGAAAAGCTGCACACTCAGCAGTAAAAGAAGTCGTGTCCTCTGACCGTCCTGTCCTTAAATCGTCAGCACAGTCATTGAACACTTGTCATCATTGGTGACGAGTGTCCTTTCACGTAAATTAGCTCCAGTCATGTTATGAATGAGCGCACACACAAACATGAACTCCATCCTGTAGGAGTACAGGCTTGCCAAGATCAATACTCATGCCAGCATCCTTAAGTTTGACCATAATTCCTGTTGATGTATAGACCAGTGTCCTGTGATCATTTAAATGTAAGCGAGCGTCTGAATTGATGTGTCTTTTGGACTTGACCCAATACGGGCAATGTAGTAAAGTAAAAGGCGGATCTTAAGCTGTCAGACATTTGGTAAGAAGAGGGCAGGCGAGTAGAGGACTGTATCCCTGTAGAGTGTTCCACTACCTTTGCCTGGAGAAGGGGTTTTTATTTATGAGTTCACCCATGATAATAAAAAAAACAAAGGTTAGAATTCATGGCACTACAAGATGCTTTGGATAAAAGCATCTCTAGCACCTGCTCTGAAAGCTCTCATGGTCTTCTTCAGATAATGACAAGGTTTTGCAGGTCCAGGCAAGGCCTGTGGTACATCTCTGATGAGGGTTTGTTCTTCTCTGTATCTAATCCCCCGTCAGGCACGGTGAGAGATAATTACAAGGTAACAGCTTCAAAGGGAGCAAAGTGTATGTGCTTGTGTGGTGCCATGCACTTTTTGTTCAGTCTCCCATAACCATCTTTTCACAGTGGGTGTCGGGAGCGAACTGCTCTACACAATTCTATGCTGTGTGTTTTTCATTGAGCTTGGTTGCTTAGCAGAAATTGTCACACACATATGACACTGTGAAGTCAGCATACTGTTGTTATCAAATGTCATCACCAGGGCCCAAGCATGAAACATGCGAGGTCCCTTTTGAAACTGAAATGCTTTCATTCTTTCTTTCTTTCTTTTCTCAAACTAACCTCAATTTTGGGGGACTAAACATACTCAAACTCACCAAACTTTGCACATAATTCAGACGCGGCGAAGAATTTCATATTTTATGGGTTTCGCTCATGGGCGTAGCAAAATGGCTCTCTAGAGATGCCCTAAACCCAACAGCAAGTCGGCCATTTTGAATTTTACAGTTATTTTTGGATGATTTACACACTTACATACTTTAACTCCTCCTAGGGATTTAGTCCGACCGACTTCAGATTTGTTCTGTGCCGTCTAAACCCATTGACGATTAAAAGTTGTGCAAACGGTGAGTTTTGCAGTTAATGGGGTGGCTGTGGCGTGGCAGCAAAATTAAACTCTTCACAATGACACAGGAAGTTGTTGTAACTTCAGTGTACATGCTCACATCTGCACAAAACTTTATGTACTTGATAACTGTCTGGCCCCGAACACATCTACCCGCCAATATTCATTTATAGTTTTATCACCAAGTGCTCTAGAGCGCCACAAAGGGGGCACAGGAGGTGACGTATAACTCTTCATGCAGAGTCCGAAGCGTGTTGCAAATTCACAGCTGTACCAGCCGAGCTCCAGAATCTGCAACGTGGCTGCTTCACACCCGACGTGTGACTAGTGTGTGGCAAAATGGCTCGGTAGCGCCCCCTACAGAGCAGCCCCCTGCCAAAGTTTCACCTACGTGTATGAAATTTCTGTGGTACCTCTTGGAACGATGCCCCACACCCAACAGGAAGTCGGCGATTTTAGATTTAATGTCATTTTTGGGATTTACACACTTTGTACTTTAACGAACTCCCCCTAGGGAATTAGTCCGATTGACTTTAAATTTGCCACTGGTCTGAAGCACATGCCAAATTCACAGCAGTGCTCCAGAATCTGAAACGCGGCTGCCTCACACCTCGACGCGCTACACGTTGCTTGCAGCATTAATTATAGATTTAGGCCTATTAGATATCTAACTGTTAATTGGAGTGTGGTTTAAGTGCGCCCATAGTCCGTGTCACTGATTGATGATCCCATCAGAAATTTGTCCAAAATATTGGTCTTATGATAGCTGATAGCTGACAACTGATTATTTTCAATAATGAATTGATTGGTATTTGGATTTATTGTACGAGCTGAGTCTTTGAAATGTCACGTCAAGATGGTCTTAAAATAGCTTTATTGTCCGACCAGCAGTCCACAACTTACAGGTATTGAGTTTACAATGATGTAAAACAGAGAAAAGCAGAAAATCTTTTCGTTGGAGTAGCTGAAGACTGAATCACTTATTAAAATAGTTGCTGATTAGTCTTAATAGTTAATTAACTAATGATGTAAGCACTAGTCTTGTCAATTAACTAGCATGCTATTATATATTTACTTTGTTGGTTTGTATTTCAAACTGATTTAAGATGATTGATCATTGGGTTGATGGGATTTATGTTAACTCTTTTATTTGTTCTTTTTTTTCATGGCAGTTGCACACAGCAACTTTATTTCAGCACAGAAACTGTTTTTAAGTCTGTTTGCTTGATTAACAGTGCTTTTTAGACTAAAAATAAATGAAGCAGACATAAAAAAGAATTTATTGAAAGAAAAATTTGGCCTTGAATGTCCTGAGACTATTTTAATATTGTTGTCTAAAACAGAGCTGCTGACCTTTTAGCAGCATGCTTGTCAGTTGCACCAGACTTGAAATTGAAAATAGATGAAAGCAATACGTTTTGCGCCTGACTATACTTCTGATGCTGCAGAGTAATCCTTCTGGGACGTACATCAGAA